ATGATTCCATAATTGACCCTAATAATTATTAAGAGGCTTTAATAATTATGGTAAGTGATTAAGAATGCTGAAAGTCGCTTTTCGGAAGAAAAGTGCAGATACCGGTTCTGCTAGTCTGTATAAATGTGTGCCAAAAAAGTATCTCGGAAAATTAAAGTAAGTTTATGATAATTACTCGAATAATATGTAGGACTTGTAAAACAACTTTCAAGTTCAAATAATGAGAAATGGTGCTAGAAATCGGTACTGGCTATGAAAAGCGCGTACCGGAAAGGTGCTCAGAAAAATCTAAGAAAAATATGATAAATCTTAGAAAATTATGTAGTTTCATAATCCAAAGTTTGGGATTAAAATGCTAAGCGTAGCAATTAAAGTTTTAATGTGTATTTAAGTGTGTTTGAGTTATAAATACTCCTATTATGGGCACAAAACCCTAGGATCATAATTCTATACGTGACTTGGTGGCTGAGTGCACCTTGGCACTGTTCCATTGCTGTGTTCTTCTTCCTTGAGAGTCTAGGAGCTATTTCTTCCTTGTTATTTGTGGTTTCTTCTTCTTAAACATTTGTGTGAGGGAGAGTCACCTATGGGAAGGGGTTTGTGGTGTTGTTTCTGAGTTGTGAAGTCTGTGTGAGGGAGGTTTGGTTGCTAACTTGTTGGTTTTGGGTTGAGAGAAGCTTGGTTTTGGTTTTTGGAGGTCCAAGTGGTGACCTTTGTGTTAAAGAACCAACCTTTGTGAAGCCATTTTCGTGCATCTTCCTTGAGTCAGACTTGTGGGGCTAAGTTGAGCTCCAAGAGCATCTCCATTCTGAGTTTTGAACCTTGGTATGTTGTACCAACCTTTAACTTGAGTTTTAAGGTTTAAAAATGGTACCTTGATGCATCTAATGACTAAAAGATGATAACTTGTTGTTGGGTAATGTTGAACACGCCTAGAAATGCATGATTAGGTGTTTTAAATTGGTAAAAAGGGAACCTTTAAGGGATATCTTCACGAAAATGCAGAAACTGCATTCTGTCGTGAAATATCTGGATATTTGTCGAACAGATATCCGGATATGTGGTTTTCGGATATCCGGATACTGGGTATCCGGATATGTGAATCTGTAGATATCCGATTATTGCATTTCCGAATATGGTCCCGAGGAATATCCGGATATTCTGGGATTTCGCAGAACAGTAGCTGTGATGTGTGTACAGTAGGCTATTGGGGGTTTGTGGACCCTAGTTTGATTAAGTTGAAATTCTGTATTTAATGGACTAAGCCAGAATCATGGGATTGAGGGCTTGTATGCATGTGGTACATGTTTATTGATTTATATTTGGTCCATATCAGATTGTGATCTGCTGTGATTGGACTTTGAGCTTGTGGCACTGGATAGCTAGCTTAGAGGTAAGCTTTCGTGTCCTCAGTTTAGCCATGTGGTGGTTCCACCATGTCCCATGGGGATATGGTATATGCATGCTGTGTTACATGCTTTTGATGTTTTGGAATGCTGTTGAGCTATTGTATGTTAGTGCCTTGTTGATATGCATGGAGGTGTTCCACCTATACGGTAAACCTGAGTATGTAGAACATACAAGAGGGTGAGGCTGTGGGTGAGGTGCAAGCGGTGTTCCTTGTACTACATGTAGGGAATAGACGTATTCCTACATTTCTCTGGCCAGTAGATAGTGATTACACACATGCCATAGATATCTGTTGCACTACGTAGTTTTGGAACTGATAATGATATAAATGCTTTTGAACTTATATTGCACATGTAAGTGAGCTTGGGGTGGAAGATCCTTGAGGACCCCTTGTCTTACTGAGATGTCTTGTTTAGAGATCTCACCCCACGTTTGGGGAATGCTTATTTCAGGGTCAGGTAATGTTGAGACCTCAGGCGGCAGGAGGCCGGAGCTGAGTTAGATTGCTGTTATATTATGCTGCTATGATTGGATGCTGGATTTGCATGTTGTTTATATGCTTATAGCTTCAGTTATGTTTATGGAGTTTTATGTTGAGACTGGTTGTTGACTATGTTTATTTGGTGAGCATGGGGATTGTCCATGACACATAGTATTGTTATGTCTTGTTTATGTCTTGAGTCTTTTGGAGTTGTAATAATGTATCAGGATATTGTCCGGATTACGTGATGTAATGCCGTGATTTAGATACACACTTTATTTATATATTGAGGTATTTCAGTAGATGTCTTGTTGCAATTTACACACAGGCGATATTTATGAAATTGATTAAGTCATCAAGTTGGTAATTGATAATGACGTCATAATTGAAAAGAAAAAGAATATTCCGCATTTTTAATTAAGCACCACTTAATACGATGTAATGTTAATATTCCGAGTATACACGGGGTGTTACAAGGAGAAATGTCGCCAGTGCAAGACTAGACGTGGAAAGATGCACGAGGGAGCTATCTCCTGATGATATTCTTGATGTCGTGGCGAACTACCTGCAGCAGGCTGGCTTCCTACATGTCGCCCGCATGTGGCATATACAAGTACGCATATAAGAAAGTACCGGTCATGATACTTTTAATTTAATAATAAATGTGAAAAACTTAGTGTATGCTTAAGCAAGTTTATTTTGATAATAAATGTTTGCATTTTTTTCAGATTGATCCCGCGCTGATCAGTGCTCTGGTGGAGAGGTGGAGACCAGAGACACATACGTTCCACATGACGCAGGGCGAGATGACCATTATGTTGCAGGATGTTGCGGCTATATTGGGATTGCCGACTGATGGGAAAGTGGTTACAAGTGCTACATCCACGAACTGGCGAGTCCTGTGTGAGGAGGTGCTTGGTCACGCCCCGCTCCTTTCAGAGCAGCCGTACGGGGATGTCAATCTTGCATATTTAGACAGACATTATGCGCATTTGGGTGCAGTTGCTGCGAATCCACAACAGGTTATATTTTTTACTAAGGCACACATTACGTGTATGTTGGGATCATGGCTTCTCTGCAACAAATCTGGAGGTAGCGTCGTCGGATGTCACTACATTGCGTTGCTTGCAGGATATTTTGATGACATTGGTCAATACAGTTGGTGATCTGCTGTTCTCGCACATTTGTTTAGACAATTGTGCGAGATTACTGACCCGCGCAGATCAGACATGGGTGGGTGTCATATACTGCTGCAGATATGGGCATGGATCAGGTTTCCACTTATTGCTCCTCCTCTTCCTCAGCCTACTCACCCAGAGTGGCACTTCGGGCACCGGTATGTGTCATTCTTATCAATAATCTTGCATATGTTTCATTTTGCCTAACAGGTTTAATGGTTTAGCCCGCTTTAAACCACAACATCAGCTTCTATATCGGGGGACGCTAGACACGTTGACTAGGGACGAGGTATGTTATCTTTTTTTGGAGAAATTATGATTATTATTTTCTCTTGTTGCCAAAATCATACGTTATGGAAATTCATTATATTTTTTGTAGGTTGTTTGGCAGCCGTACGGGGACTATAATTTCTTGGACATACCTGCAGATGAGCGATATTTTTGGTTGGCTAGGACACCGATCATATGTTTTCATATGGTTGAGCAGTGCCAACCTGATAGATGCTTGAGACCGTTTGGTTTGGACCAGCCGATACCTTTGAGGCCTAGAAAGCTCAAAGGGGTTCATGATCACACGCTTCGAGGTAAATGGCCTGATAACTGGCAAGTTAAGCTCAGACCATTCATACATAGATGGCAGATAAGGGCTCAACACATAGGTCAGTTGCCCCCCATATTGGCTGGGCTAATGTCACCAAACCATGAGTATATGGATTGGTATCGGCTCCGAGGTAAGCGTTATGTATCGAGGAGGGCGACGAAGATTGGACGCAGTGTATGTTTTCTAAAGTCTCTTACTTTCTTAGTTTTTTCATTTATTGACACTATCTTATTAAATGTATGTGTTACTTGCACTTATTTATTTTTATTGTAGATTGATGGTCTGGAGATGCTTTACTTTGCGACTACTCCTGAGCATTTTGAGACCTTTGGTTTAGACTGGGATCATGAGGAGATTGGGCGCTTAATTTATGTATTCAGAGAGTCATCCAGGGTGGAGGAGCCAGGATCACAGGCTCCCCCGGCCCAGACACTGGATGAGCCTCATATATCTCTTGACATTCCTGCACATAGACAGGAGAGACGAGGGCTAGGACGCCGTCGAGAGGCAGTGGCACCACTTCCGAAGCCTATACATGCCCCTAGACCATGCATGGATATGTCTGGATACTTCAGGCCCCCATGATGGGGCAGACATATGATTCTCAACCCATTTATTACAGTCCTCTTCACCACCAGGATGTGCCATTTTTCCCTTCGCAGACAAGTACACATGGTCCACCCATGGTCTCCTAGAGTCAGCCAGTGTATCATGCTAGTCCAGTCCACAGCGCACCTGGTTATGTGCCAACCACATAGGCTGAGACTAGCACTCAAGATTACCAGCCGTGGTCACATAGAGATGTTGACGACTTGATGGAGCAAATGTGTTGGGACCCAGATTTGGTGCCAAATTGGGAACCATTTCAGCCTACAGATGTCACTACACCTCCCCACCATGCGTCTACGTCATCTCCTATACAGCCAGTTACAGCATCTAGTCCAGGACCAGAACCTGAGCCAGGAACGCAGCATGAGCCAGAGCCAGGACCAGAGGCTGTTCCAGATGTCGTTCCAGCCCCAGCCGACCCCGATATTGGGCCATGTGTAGCTCCTAGACGCAGATTTTTGCCTCCTCGTCAGGCACGGGAGAGGCAATGGCCTCCACCATCGTAGTTTATTATGTACTAGGACACCACATTTTTTTGCAGTGACATATGTTTGACACTTTTATGTCTGTATATTTAATGGACTACATGCTTATCCCATATTGTGTATGAGTTATTTATTTTTCAGCATAACTAGATTAATGAAACAAATGACATAGATAACACAACATAATAATGCCACGTAAAAGGTGACTATCATTTTGATTACAAACGTTATGTCCATCACTGATTAGGTAAACGATTAGGACAAGAGCGACGATTATGCCCAAGTAGCTTACAAAGACCACACTTAATTCGACTTTGACTGGCTTCAACTTCATCCATCTCATTGCGTATCCTAGTTGACTTTGGACGGCCTTTTGCACGCAACATAGATTTGTCGGGTATGATAACTGAACCCCCCCAAGGTGGAATAACAGCCTCATTACCAATTGGCTGCCAAGGAAATGAGTATGCATGAACCAAATTCTCTGTCAAGAACACATCGTCCACAAATCGAAAGGGATTCTGCCGAACACTTAGTGCCGCCGCATAGGCATGACTACATGGGTACTTGAAAGCCTTAAACTTTCGACATTGACAATATCTCTCTAGAAGGTTGACAGAATACGACCTCTCATAACCCTCGTCAACTTCAAATACAGTTTCATCAACATTGTATGTACGCACATTGTGACCTGTTGCAAAGGACTCATTAAACTTCATCGATTCAACTATATTTTTGCAATGACGATGTGAAGCATGAAGTTGTGCTACAACTGCTTGATCTCTTTCCACAAAATAATGAACTAGCTTGCTATATGTATGCTTAACAAACCAGTTATTGGCATGTTTCTTGCACCCTTCAAAACCCTATTAACGGATTCAGACAAGTTTGCTGTCATATGGCCATATCTAAGTCCATCAACATCATATGCCCGCGTCCACTTTTCCTTTAGAATCTGATCAATCCAATCTGCAATCTCAGGACTAATGTCATGAAATTTTGCAAAGGCTATATCGAAATCAACCTTAGAAGGAGTATAACCTGAAAAGAGAAAAATATTTAATAATTTTTTGCAATGAATAATAATGTCAAACATCATAAAAAAGAGACCAAAACATACTCAAATTTATAATCGTCTTCTTCAATTTTTCGTTCCGGAACTTTTGATTAAAATTACTTGCAATATGGCGAAGGCAAAACACATGTTGGGAATGTGGTGGCTGCCAACCACGATGATTCTCCACAGCAGATAATATGCTTTGATGCCGATCTGAAATGAGACATATGTTTTGCTTTTGCGTGACATGACGATGAATGTTTTCAAGGAAGTACTGCCATGCTTCCAAAGTCTCACCTTCAACAATTGCAAATGCTAATGGCAAACATTCAGCATTTCCATCCTGAGCTGTGGCAATCAATAATTTTCCTTTATACTTTCCATATAAATGAGTGCCATCGATTTGAATTACTTGTTTGCAAAAATTGAAAGCCTCGCAACATTGTCTATAAGTCCAAAAAATGCGATGAAACACTTGTTTTTCACGTACCAGTCGGTGGGCAACAAAATAATCATCTGTTTGAATATTATAAACAGAACCTGGAGAAAAGCGAAGCATATATTCACACCACCTAGGAAAAAATGCATAAGACCCCTCCCAATCACCATACATGATCGCAATTGCTTTTTGTTTTGCATACCATGCCTTTCTGTAAGAAACTTTGAAACCATACGCATGGGTGATCCTCTCCTGAACAAGTGAAATTGACACTGATGGCTCCTCTCGTATCATTCCTAACAATCATATTGTAGTTAGACATTAAACCTTAAACCCTAACTATAAATTCAATTTCCTTGACAAAATAATCAAATAACATACCTAGTACGAGTGAAGCAATCACATCAACATCAAGCTGTCTATGACCCTGAGAAATATGATCATTCAAGCAATTGTGGTCTCCAACCCATTTAGTAACCTTCCATTTTTCACCGTACGTTTGTTTTATTACCCTAACCCTCCACGGGAAACCCTGTTCATACGCACAACATTTCATACTTAATTTGGTAGGCGTGCTCTCAAGGACGTTCGCTTCTTGATGCTCTTTCATTAGATTTCTCTCGATTGCCATTTGCGCCTCTTTTTTTTATTCAAATTCTTGCTTAACATAAAACTTGTTACCTATTATCCATGGACAATTAATTGAACGTGAGCCTGAGCCAGAACTTGAACCGTCGTTAAAAGAATCTTGTTCCTTCGGATGATCCCGATTAATGTATGTGTAATGTGGAATTTCTTTCCAAAATGGAACAACATCGTCACCTGCAAGTACGAAATTAAACATTAAAACCCAAAAAACTGCAAATATAAATGTATATTTTCAGCCAGTTACTTACTTACCTTCCGAAATTGGCGGTAACTGAGTGGACGCGACGTTATGATGTTCTTGGACATGAGACTCCCCCACAACATTATATTCTAGGATTTGAGTTTCAGGAATACCACATTCATCATCGTTGTCTGAAGCGCTACCATCCTCAGCAAGAAGTTGATCATCCATTGCAATATTTTCATCATCGTCATCCTCACCATCATCTTCCATAACCCAAGTAGGGTCATTTTCTCCTTCCTCAGACAGATTACCAACTGGAGCAGCAGATGATGATGCATTATGTGCAAAATTTAAATCAACTGACCTCACGGGTATAACAACATCCTCTGTTCCGGCAATATCCACGTATAACTCTAAAAAATCTTTCCTTGACTTGTTGAAACACTCTCCGATTACCATTTCTACGTCTTCATCGTCAATAACTTGCATACTAATGTATTGTGATTCACACCATATTCTTGCAGTGACCATATTGATAGATGGTTTACCTTTAAGCGCTTACTTTGGACGAATTTTTTGATGTAGTTCGCTAATTGTTGAGTTCCGCATGATACGTGTTGGCCTTTTCTCGCCTTCAAAAATGTCACCACGTCGACCTTCCATTTTCCTACCATTATAATATAAAACAACACGAACAAAATCAGAACGTGAACTCATTCTTAACTATATTAATAAAGAAAAACAAAAAACAGAGTATGCATAAGCAAGTGAGACTGTATCGAAGACTAAGAAGTTAAGATGAAGAGTTGTGATGAATGTGGAGATGGGAGGTGTTTATATAGGAAAAATAGATGGCATTCACGCTCAAAGTGGGCTGGAAAGGGGGCTGAGTCACGCCTAGATGGGGCTAGAATATCCTTCGATTCATGCCTGCATGGGGCGTGACTAATCACGCCTATTTTGGGCGTGAATTACATGGAATTCACGCATAACACGAGCGTGAATTGTCCCGCCCATTTTGGGCGTGAATGACTGCAATAAATCCGAACATAGTTTTCAAATTGCAACCTATTCGTAATTAATTATTAAAAGTGTAATATTTTAATTTTTTTGCCCAAATGCATGGGGCTGTTTTATTTTTGGTTTTGGACAAAATTGATTGGCTATTTATCACTCCAAATCTTTCTTTCATCTACCTTATTAATTATTTTTAATCGCAGCTTTTTTAATTATTCCCAATTAGGTAATTTATTAAATTAATTTTTATCAATTACATTTTCTACTATATATTCAGATGTAGTAATAGACAATTTAAGAAATTGTAATTATAACTAAAAAAAAAATGTTTGTCCTTTTAAATGACACAACTTATATCATTTCACTCTTACAAAGAGGTGGGACCCACAACTTTACTTTTTTTTGTCCACTCTCTCCCTCTTTATCTATCTTTTTTCTCTCACTTAAAATGACACAATTTTATATTCTTTAAAATGACACACACTTTTTCCTATAACTAATTAACTCGGTGTGTAAAAAGATAATTAAAAATTCTAAAGAAACTACTTAACGCTTAATATCTTATCTATCACACATATACGTTATTTAATTTAATTAATGTACGTATATGTGTAATAGATAAGATATTAAGCATGCTCTAAATTTTTTTAGCCACCTCCAATTATATGCTGGTTTCATTGTTTTTATAATTACAAATATATTTTAATAATAAACAATTATTGTAAAAAAGTTATGGTTTTTTTTTTATACATAAAAAGTTATGGCTATAAAATCTTCTTTTTGTGTTAATTTGTTTTGGACTTAATTAAACTCTAATTATCTTTTTGAGACGAGTTGCTCCCCCCAGACCCCGGTATTACCACAAACTTCAACTCTTTGAGCTGGCTATGAGACTAATCTAGAGTGCGGAGCAGGTCAAGAAGGAAGATATTTAAATCCTTCCCAAAATGGCATGTGGGGATTAAACTAAAGCCCTTTGATTTCCACTAGTCAGCTCCCATGTTATCAACTAAGCTACTACTATTTGGCCTTTTTATGTTAATTCCAATTAAGTATTTAGGCAAATAATTATTCTTGTATAATTAATTCTATTTAACATTTATACTTTCATATTAAAGTTATTTTAATATTTTCAGTAGATGGTGTCCCATTCTAATATTTGTGTTATTATATGCCTGAGATAATTATGCTTATAAATAACTTATTAATAGACTACTTTTTTTTGGATGAAACATTAGTAGACTACTTTATACAAGATTGTGAAACGTGTTATTTAATCACATCGGGATTCGATTTTATATATTTAAGCATAATCAGGTAGATTTTGCTCAAGAGATTAATGCAAGTACTTGTGACTTTCATTTCAATTGTTTTTCCCTTATAAGTAAAATGACATATTCAAAATAAAAGTTTTAATCTTATATATATATTTAGATTATCCCAGAGTAATATCATATCGATTTCCTATGGACTAATTTAGAGTTTGAGACAGGTTCATGCTTAAGGTTTTAAATCGCTCAAAAAAATAATATTTAAGAGGATCAAACATAGAGGTGTCAAAACGGGTTGACACGACACGAATTCGACACGACATGAACACATCAACACTAACACGACACAAATTTTTATTCGTGTCAAAATCTTCAACACTGACACGACACGAATTTTTTGCGGGTTGACACGACACGACACGAATAACACGCAAAATAAAGGTCAAAACAGTAATTGACAAAAAAATTTAAAAAAAATGGATCGAAATTAAAAAAATTTAAAATAATAATAATAAAAAATTAAAAATATAATAATTTTAAAAAAATACGGGTCGACACGAACACGACACGAATTTTTTACGTGTCATTTTTCCCAACACGAACACGACACGAATTTTTTGCGGGTCAACCCAAACACAAATTTTCGTGTCGTGTCGCGGGTCGACCGCGTGTCAAAACCTATATTGACACCCCTAATCAAACATATACACTCAAATTTAAAATAAAATTTATAATCTTCTTTAGATAAAAGTTGTATGACACTTTTTGTAACACCATCGTATTGACCCGGATTAATTACACTATGTAGTGGGAGAATATCAATAAGTCTTGTGAGTGAAGCTATGAATTTCATATATATATATATATATGTATGTATGATTTATGTAACACCTTGTGTACATTCGGTATATTAACATACAATAGTAATGGCGCAGCAAATTAAATACGGAAGCTAACTTTTTCATTTCAATTATGACGTCATTATTATTAACCAAGTTGATTACTTATTTCCTTTTCAAAACATTGCCTGTATGTAAATTGCAAATAAAAAACTAACTAAAATACCTCATAACTAAAACACACATAGACCGGACAATATCCTGCTAGATTATACAACTCAATCTAACTAAACAAGACATAATTAATGTGGCATGGACAATCCCCATGCTCACCAAATAAGGCAACAAAGCCCAACATAGTCTCAACTCAAATAACAATATAATTACAATCAAAAATAACTCAGCATCCAACTAGATCTGCATAAACATGCATACATCAGTCAACTAAGCTCCGGCCTCCTTCTGCCAGAGGTATCAACCTCTGAGGTATCTGTACCTGAAAATGTGTCCTAAATGTGGGATGAGATCTCTAAAAGAAATCTCAGTAAGACAAGAGGTCCTCAAGGATCTCTCCACCCTAAGCTCACTTACATGTGTAATATAAGTTCTAAAAGCAGTATAATAATATAATTTCCAAAATCTGTGCAATGCAGCATATAATCATGTCATGTGTGTCACAATTCTACTGGCCAGAGAAAATGCAGGAATTACATACGTCTACAACCCACAGTTGTACAAGATGCTCCTTGTACCCACCCACAGGATCACCACATTGTATGATGCTACATACTTAGGCTTATCGTCTAGGTGGAACACTACATACATATCATAAGGCATTTGCACTTAACAGCTCAAAAGCATTTCAATAAATCATCATTTCAGAAAGGCACATCATGCATATAAACCATCCCTCCATGAGGTATGGTGGAACCAACAATGGGCAAAACCAAGGACACGAAAGCTTACCTCTTAAGCAATCAATCCAATCCAAAGTCCAGACTAGCTCAAAATCCACAAATAACACAATCACAATCTGTTTAGACCAGCAATCATATCAATATTTATAATCTGAGTTCATGACATAATAACAACGTTCTCCTTATCGTCTCATGCCATTAGGCTTCTCCCAAAGCCACAAGCCCTTAATCCAATTGATTCTGACTTAGTTTAATCATTACAAAGGTCCAACCCCATCAATCATGGGTCCACAAACCCAAAATACCATTATGTATGAACAGAACAGTGACACTCTCGAAATTTCCAGAATATCCGGATATTTGTCGAGGCCATATCCGGATATCCATATCCGGATATCTCGAACCCTATATCCGGATATCAATATCCGGATATTGTAACACCCCGTGTATACCTGATTTGTTATCATGTCATCGTATTAAGCAATGCTTAATTAAAATGTGGAATAACTTTTTTCTTTTCAATTATGAAGTCACTAATATTACCAAGTTGATTACTTAATCCTTTTCATAAAACATCGCCTGTATGTAATTGCAATAAAGCTAAATACACTGAATAACCTCAATATATAAATAACTGTGAGTATCTAAGTCACGGTACTACAACACGTAGTCCGGACCATAATCTTGATACATTAAAACAACTCGAAATTAAAATAAGACATAGTCAATCAATGCGGCATGGACAACCCTCATGC